TTTTGGTATGGGGCGTAGAGGTGCGGAGAGGGAGATAGACAAAACTCTCACGTGGCAGCAGCGCCACCCCTCTAGCCCTAGCCGCGGCGCTCGGCCCCCTAGCCTGTCCTAGCCGCAGCGCTCGGCCCCCTAGCTTATCCTAGCTGCAGCGCTCGGCCTAGAAATTGTCTTAACCTAACCTAACCCTCAATAATTTAAAGTAAAAGGAGTTTTGTCTATCCCCCCCTCCGCACCGCTACGTCCCATGCCCGTATTTTTGGCTCTAAAGCGTGGAGATAATCCGATATGATATGGGACGTTCTGTATTTTCAGATTTACTGACACCAATGTTATTCCTTCGAACAATCAGGGTTTTAGTTCAATCCTGGTCATAACTATAATCCGGGTCATCATTGCAATCCTGGTACTTAGCACAACCCTGGTCATTAGTTTCATGCTGGTCATTATAGTATAATCCTGGTCATTAATACAATCCTAGTCATTAGTACAATCCAAGTCATTATACAATCCTGGTCACTAGTATAATCCTGATCATTAGTACAATCCTGGTCATTAGTAAAATCCTGGTCATCAATACAATCTTGGTCATTAGTACAATCCTGGTCATTAGCACAATCCTGGTCACTAGTATAATCCTGGTCATTAGTACAATCCTGGTCATTAGTAAAATCCTGGTCATCAATACAATCTTGGTCATTAGTACAATCCTGGTCATTAGTACAATCCTGGTCATGGTCATGCAGTACAATCTTGGTCATTAGAACAATCCTGGTCATTAGTACAATCCTGGTCATTAGTACAATCCTGGTCATTAGTACAATCCTAGTCATTAGTACAATCCTAGTCATTAGTACAATCTTGGTCATTAGTACAATCCTTGTCATCAATACAATCTTGGTCATTAGTACAATCCTTGTCATTAGTACAATCCTGGTCATCAATACAATCTTGGTCATTAGTACAATCCTGGTCATTAGTACAATCCTGGTCATTATACAATCCTGGTCACTAGTACAATCCTGGTCATTATACAATCCTGGTCATTAGAACAATCCTGGTCATTATATAATCTTGGTCATTAGTACAATCCTGGTCATTAGTACAATCCTGGTCATTAGTACAATCCTGGTCATTAGTACAATCCTGGTCATTAGTACAATCCTGGTCATTAGTATAATCCTGCTGAGCACTGAGTAAGACACACGAATACTCAGTAACAAGAAATTGCATGAAATGCAGTTCAAAATATTAAGTTGGTAAATGAGAAAGTTGTTGGTAGGTAGACCGGTATACCGGTAGATACTGGTAGACTGTTGTATCAACCATTAATATATTTGACCTTGGATGATAAAACTCATTGCATTTTCAAGGCCATCCATACTCCATAGTATTCATTCTATTAGTTTTTTAGGATAATTACAAGAATACAAGGAGGATACAAGGATACAGAATACAAGGGCACAAGGATACACGGATACGAGGATACAAGGATACAATGGCACAAGGATACACGAATACAAGGATATAAGGATACATGGATACAAGGATACAAGTATACAAGGATACAAGTATACAAGGATACAAGTATACAACAAGTATACAAGGATACAAGTATACAAAGACACAAGTATACAAGGAAACAAGTATACAAGGATACAAGTATACAAAGACACAAGTATACAAGGAAACAAGTATACAAGGATACAAGTATACAAGGATACAAGTATACAAGGATACAAGTATACAAGGATACAAGTATACAAGGATACAAGTATACAAGGATACAGGTATACAAGGATACAAGTATACAGGGATACAAGTATACAAGGATACAAGGATACAAGGATACAGGGATACAAGGATACAAGGATACAAGTATACAGGAACACAAGGACACAAGGATACAAGTATACAAGGATACAAGTATACAGGAACACAAGGATACAAGGATACAAGTATACAAGGATACAAGTATACAAGGATACAAGTATACAAGGATACAAGTATACAGGGATACAAGTATACAAGGATACACGGATAAAAGATACAAAAATACAAGGATACAAATGCACAAAGATACAAAGATACAAGAATAAAAGAATTCAAGGATACAAGGATAAAAGAATACAAAGATACGATAACAGAATAAAAGGATACAAGGATGCAAGGATACAAAAATACAATGATAAAAGGATACAAGGATACAAGGATACAAGGATACAAATGCATACAAGGATACAAGGATACAAGGATACAAGAATACAAGGATACAAGATTACAAGGATGCAAGGATACAAGGATACAAGGATACAAGGATAAAAGGGTAAAAGGATAAAAGGATACAAGGATACAAGGATAAAAGGATACAAGAATACAAGGATACAAGGATAAAAGGATACAAGAATACAAGGATACAAGGATACGAGGATACAAGGATAAAAGGATAAAAGGATACAAGGATACTAAAATACAAGGATACAAGAATACAAGGATAAAAGGATAAAAGGATTCAAGGATACAAGGATACAAGGATACAAGGAAAGTATACAGGAACACAAGGATACAAGGATACAAGGATACAAGGATACAAGGATACAAGGATACATAAAATAAAAGGATACAAGGATACAAGGATAAAAGGGTAAAAGGATAAAAGGATACAAGGATACAAGGATGAAAGGATACAAGGATACAAGGATACAAGGATAAAAGGATACAAGAATACAAGGATACAAGGATACGAGGATACAAGGATAAAAAGATAAAAGGATACAAGGATACTAAAATACAAGGATACAAGAATACAAGGATAAAAGGATAAAAGGATACAAGGATACAAGGATAAAAGGATACAAGGATACAAGGATACAAGGATAAAACTAAAAAGAAGGATAAAAGTATACAAGATACAAGAATACAAGAATACAAGGATACAAGGATACAAGGATACAAGGATACAAGGATACAAGGATACAAGGATACTAAAATACAAGGATACAAGAATACAAGGATAAAAGGATAAAAGGATTCAAGGATACAAGGATACAAGGATACAAGGAAAGTATACAGGAACACAAGGACACAAGGATACAAGGATACAAGGATACAAGGATACAAGGATACAAGGATACAAGGATACAAGGATACAAGGACACTAAAATACAAAGATACAAGAATACAAGGATAAAAGGATAAAAGGATACAAGGATACAAGGATACAAGGATAAAAGGATACAAGGATACAAGGATACAAGATACAGGAACACAAGGATACAAGTATACAAGGTTACAAGAGTGTACAGGGATACAAGGATGGATACAAATGCATACAAGGATACAAGTAAACAAGGATACAAGGATACAAGGATACAAGGATACAAGGATACAAGGATACAAGGATACAAGGATACAAGGATATAAGAATACAAGGATATAAGTATACAAGGATACAGGTATACAGGAACACAAGGATACAAGTATACAAGGTTACAAGAGTGTACAGTGACACAAATATTTGTGGCAAGAGCTGTTTTGAGGAAAATTGAGAGTCTGGAAATATATTGTGACTAGAGCTGCTTTGTCAAGGAAAGTTTTGAGGAAATATTTGTGGCCAGGGCTGTTTTGAGGAGAATTTTTAGGCAGCAATGCTTTGCGATAGAAACATTTTGTTGAGAAATATTTATAAGTCATGTTCCCCTCCCACTGTAAACTCCGGTTCCTGTCAAGTACTTATTTTAATTATGTTAAAAGTTGTATCATATCTTGTCATAAATGGGTAAAACTTGAATGCAAAAATCATATTTTTGTATTTATCTTACTCCGGTTTTTTACTTCCTGAGTTTGAACGGGTAAATACTAAATATCCACCCTGGAGCACTGCACATACACAATTATTTATTAACAAACCAACTACAGTCGGTTCACATCTACTCTGTCATATACTTCAATCCTGGTGAATACACGTACATCCGTTCATTACAAGGATATTAGATCAGTTTAATACAAGAATATGTTAGAATTAGATCAGTAGAAGCGTAGTAGTATAGAAGGGAACTAGTAAAGAGTAGGAGTAGTGTGGAACTAGTAAAGAGTAGGAGTAGTGTGGAATTAGTAAAGAGTAGGAGTAGTAGGGAACTAGTAAAGAGTAGGAGTAATGTAGAACTATAGAGTAGGAGTAGTGTGGAACTAGTAAAGAGTAGGAGTAGTGTGGAACTAGTGAAGAGTAGGAGTAGTAGGGAACTAGTAAAGAGTAGGAGGAGTGTGGAACTAGTAAAGAGTAGGAGTAGTGTAGAACTAGTAAAGAGCAGGAGTAGTGTAGAACTAGTGAAGAGTAGGAGTAGTGTGGAACTAGTAAAGAGTAGGAGTAGTATAGAACTAGTAAAGTGTAGGAGTAGTGTGGAACTAGTAAAGAGTAGGAGTAGTATAGAACTAGTAAAGTGTAGGAGTAGTGTGGAACTAGTAAAGAGTAGGAGGAGTGTGAAATTAGTAAAGAGTAGGAGGAGTGTGGAACTAGTAAAGAGTAGGAGTAGTGTGGAACTAGTAAAGAGTAGGAGTAGTGTGGAACTAGTAAAGAGTAGGAGTAGTAGGGAACTAGTAAAGAGTAGGAGTAGTGTGGAAATAGTAAAGAGAAGGAGTAGTGTGGAACTAGTAAAGAGGAGGAGTAGTGTGGAACTAGTAATGAGTAGAAGTAGTAAAGAGTAGGAGTAGTACGTGTGGAACTAGTAGAGAGTAGGAGAAGTGTGGAAGTAGTAAAGAGTAGGAGTAGTGTGGAACTAGTAAAGAGGAGGTGTAGTGTGGAACTAGTAATGAGTAGAAGTAGTGTAGAACTAGTAAAGAGTAGGAGAAGTGTGGAAGTAGTAAAAAAGTAGGAGTAGTGTGGAACTAGTAAAGAGTAGGAGTAGTGTGGAAGTAGTAAACAGTAGGGAAGAAGATTTCTTGTTATTTTAATCAAAAATTGATTTTCGCATATTTTCTTTTCCCTTGAACAAATATTCTCCTAGTTTCAGATGGTTTGCAAACTTGAGTTATATCTACAACCTGCTTTCCCTGACACCCGGAGTAAACTCAGTTGGAATATAATTCTCTCATGAAAAGGAGGAATACTGCAAGTTATTAGGTAAACCTTGAATAGATATACACTCTTTGATTAATACAAACCTTCTCAGGATATTGTCATATAACATTAGATGTCTGAGTAATATCCCTTGTCAGGTCATCATCCCTTGTCAGGACATTATCCCTTGTCAGGACATTATCACTTGTCAGGACATTATCCCTTGTCAGGACATTATCACTTGTCAGGACATTATCCCTTGTCAGGACATTATCACTTGTCAGGATATTATCCTTTTTCAGAGTAATATTCCTTGTCAGGTCATTATCCTTTGTCAGGACATTATCCCTTGTCAGGTCATTATCCCTTGTCAGGACATTATCCCTTGTCAGGACATTATCACTTGTCAGGATATTATCCTTTGTCAGGATATTATCCCTTGTCAGGATATTATCCCTTGTCAGGATATTCTTACATGTCAGGATAATATCCCTTGTCAGGATATTATCCTTTGTCATGATATTATCCCTTGTCAGGTCATCATCCCTTGTCAGGATATTATCCCTTGTCAGGATATTATCCTTTGTCAGGTTATTATCCCTTTTCAGGACATTATTACTTGTCAGGACATTATCCCTTGTCAGGACATTATCCTTTGTCATGATATTATCCCTTGTCAGGTCATCATCCCTTGTCAGGATATTATCCCTTGTCAGGATATTATCCTTTGTCAGGTTATTATCCCTTTTCAGGATATTATCCCTTTTAAGGATATTATCCCTTGTCAGGATATTCTTACTTGTCAGGATAATATCCCTTGTCAGGAAATAAACTCTTGTCAAGATACCAACCATTGAACATTACAAGTATTTGTGTAAAAGTATCCTTGTCTAGATGCTAATATTCTTCTGAATAAGTTTCCAAGTCTGGATACTGATCTTATTCTATATAGATAAATAGGAATATTAAGTATATTTTTTTGTATTAGTAGAAATAAGTATCTGTGTCAGAATACTTTTACCTTGATCCGTATATATATCCGTGTCTGGATCCGGGTCTAGATAAGTAGGAATAAGTATCAGTGTCTGAATTCTAACCTTATTCTAGACAAAGTAGGAATAAGTATCCTTGTCAAGATACTAACCTTAGTCTAGATAAGTAGGAATAAGTATCCGTGTCTGGATACTAACCTTAGTCTAGATTAGTAGGAATAAGTATCCTTGTCTAGATACTAACCTTAGTCTAGATAAGTAGGAATAAGTATCCGTGTCTGGATACTAACCTTAGTCTAGATAAGTAGGAATAAGTATCCGTCTCTGGATACTAACCTTAGTCTAGATAAGTAGGAATAAGTATCCGTGTCTAAATACTGACCTCATTCTAGATAAGTAGGAATAAGTATCCTTGTCTGGATACTAACCTTAGTCTGGATAAGTGTCTGTATAAGCAGGAATAAGTATCTGTTTCTGGATACTAAAGAATCTGAAGTAAAACCAAGTAAATGAAGGTTTGTAGAAGAAACTTTGCCAGGGTAAAAGATCCTCAGGATTGATAGGAAAACCTATTAAAGTTTAGTTAGATAAAGAAACAAACCTAAACCTAATTAATTTCTCCTCATTCTCGACATGTAATTTACAGAAAAGTACAATGTTTTATATCTTCTCATCATTTCACAACAGTTTAGTCCATCCCTTCTCCATGCCGCCTTTCCTACTTTTTCACTTTCCCCTTTTCTTTCTTTATCTCTACAGCACCCTTTCCTTTTTTCTTTAACCACAGTACCCTTTTCCTTTCTTCTTTAACCACAGTATTCTTTTCCTTTCTTCTTTAGCCACAGTACCCTTTTCCTTTCTTCTTTGACCACAGTACCCTTTTTCTTTCTTCTTTAACCACGGCACTCTTTTTCTTTTTTCTTTATCTACAGTACTCTTTTCCTTTCTTCTTTAAACACAGTACTCTTTTCCTTTCTTCTTTAACCACAGTACCCTTTTCCTTTCCTCTTTAAACACAGTACTATTTTTCTTTCTTCTTTAGCTACAGTACCCTTTTCCTTTCTTCTTTAACTACAGCACTCTTTCCCTTTCTTCTTTAAACACAGTACTCTTTTACTTTCTTCTTTAACCACAGTACCCTTTTCCTTTCCTCTTTAAACACAGTACTATTTTCCTTTCTTCTTTAGCTACAGTACCCTTTTCCTTTCTTCTTTAAACACATTACTATTTTTCTTTCTTCTTTAACCACAGTACTTTTTTCCTTTCTTCTTTAAACACAGTACCCTTTTTTCAGGGGTGGGGGAAATATATGAAGAGATGTATAAACAAGAATAATACAAAAAAAGACAAAACGATTTTCACAGTTCTGAAAGATTCATAATATATATTTGTAGACAGTAGAAAGAGAATTATAAGGGAGTAATGTGGGTGTTTAGCAAAACGGTGTCTCCTGAAAAAGTTTTGCAAATTATATTTTCACGAGAAGGGAATCACTCATTTGGCGTACAGTTCCGTTTTGCCTTGTATGGTCTTTATGTATGGTTTGTACTGTACTGCTTGCCCTGGCTAGTTGAAGTTCGGCCGAGTACATGAAATGAACTAGAATTTACCGTGAGAGTAATATTTGTAACTACAAAATTTTATTCACACACCACCCTTATCTTAATTCCATCTTGTTTTTACAAAACACTAGGTCTCACTTTGCGCTCGTATTTTTAGGAAATTGTGAATTTTCAATGTTTACACAAATGGAATTTGTTTCTGGGACAAATTCAAAGCCTCAATGGTCATGAACGCCATCTTAACCCCCCTCAAAAAAAATTTTACCCAATCGGTTCAGAACAGCCGATTCGTTGGTTTTTGAAAAAAAAATATTGAAAACAACTAATAACTAAGATAATTTTAGTTTTAACATTTAATAATGAAAGCCTGAGTAGTGGTGTGTGTATGGATTTAGAATAAAGACACGAAATTAAACGGTTATGACTGCAGTTCTTGTAAAACCGGTCGTTTCCGGTTCCGCTGGAAGAATATCGGGAATTTTCCTCTGAAGGGAGAAAGTTTAAACTTTAAAGTAACTGCACCGAAGTGAACGGATGAATAGATTTAATGCGTGATATATCCCACACCACGGCCTTTAAGCAATCTCAGTATTAATGTTATTTCTCAATATGATGGTCTTTTTAAAGATAGTTCTTTGAATTGCATAAAAAGCCATTTTTAATTTAAAATTAAAATTTAAAAATTTTCCTGTACTTTTCCCGTATTCAAATTTTCGAATTTCTATATCTGTGCAACCTGATGGTGTAAAACTTTGATATCTCAGATTATTTGATTTAACAGTAATCATAATTTGAAATAAATAAGGTCTACAACATTTGGTTGCAAAGATACAAGGATTATCGAATCGGAGTTTGTGGCAAAGACTCAATTCCTTGGAACGTGCAGTTGTGGTTTCGCGCATTTATGTAAATACATTTCGTCAAATAAAAAATACATATCCGTGAATAAAGTAAGAAAAATAAATGCTTAGATATCGTAGGTTATTAATGATAGCTTTAAAATCATCATAAAAAGGACTTTTCATTCTTATTTACACCATTATATTCCCCCAACACCAATCCTGCCCCGCCCATATCTCCCCCTTCCAATCTCTGACTTATCCCAAGTTTCTACCCATCTCATCATGCTTACCCTTCTCCCAACTCCTTTCTACAAGCCCACTCTTACCTTCCTCCCCTGTCTTCTGCATCCTAGTCCCCTCTTCCCCGCTAGCCCTATACTCCATCTCATCCACTATTTTGGATCTCTTCTTCTCCTTCCCCACTAGCTCTATACTCCATCTTATCCACACCCTGGATCTCTTCTTCTCCTTCCCCACTAGCTCTATACTCCATCTTATCCACACCCTGGATCTCTTCTTCTCCTTCCCCACTAGCTCTATACTCCATCTTATCCACACCATGGATCTCTTCTTCTCCTTCTACACTAGCTCTATACTCCATCTCATCCACTACCCTGGATCTCTTCTTCTCCTTCCCCACTAGCTCTATACTCCATCTTATCCACACCCTGGATCTCTTCTTCTCCTTCCCCTCCTCTTGATCTCTTCTTATCCTCAACGAGCTCCACCTCCTCCTCTCTCCACTCGACTCCTCTAAATCTCCCCTTCCCCTCTCCTACTCCTCCCCTTATTCCCAGCTACTGATCTCTCCTTATCCTCCTTCCCCTTCTTTCCATACTTCTCCTTCCCCTCCTCTCCACTCCTCTCTCTTATAGCAAACTATGTCAATAATGAATGCTCATGAAGATTGCTTAAATCATGCTGATGCGGAAGGATTGTAAACAGTTCGTCAGCCTGAAACTCAAATATCTTTACTTCAACCCAAACCCAAAGTTGACGAGCTTAACGATTGCCTACAAGATATTCTCTGTATTAGAAATATTCCGTTTTAGAAATGTTTTTTTCAAGTTTATTTTTACAAATTTTATGATTTGGTCCTTCATCTTATTTTTTCTTTATTTTGTTCTAAGTTATTAAGGGATATGAATTGCCCTAAAAAAGTTCATTTGAAGATGTTTATTAAAACTTCAAAGTAGAAAAACATGATTTCAACAGTTACAATGGAATTTCTGAATGAAATACTAAATTTATTCAACTTCTTGTTTAATTTATTTTAGTTGAAGGTTTCAAATTAGGTTTATACACGTTTTCAACAATTCAATTTTTTGAATAAAAGTTTTAGGTTGTCACCTAATGACTTATAGTCTGCAATTTTATATAAAAAGCTGGTAAATTATTTGGTGTAGGGTGTCTCAATAAACATAGGTTTAAGTAACAACATTAAAAAGTCTTATTTATCTGATAGTTAATGAAAACCAAACTATGTAAAAAACAGATGACTTCTGAGCATTTTTAAATTCTCCATTTAATCCCTTTTTTTGGTAAACCCTGTACAATGTACATTGTACATCAAATGCACTGCATCACCATCAACAACATTTCAATTATTTTCATAATTCAAGAAATGTACTTTTTATCAACCTTTTGATAATCTAATTTAACATACCATAATCAAACTTATTAATCTTGTTAAACTTAACGAACTTACTGAACTTAGTAAATCATAAGTTTATCCAACCTTTCAAATTTATGAAACTTTATCAAACTCGTTAAAGTCATTAGATTTGTTGAACCAAACTTTTAAACTTATTTAACTGTTAAACTTATTTAACTTGTTAAACTTATTTAACTTGTTAAACTTATTTAACTTGTTAAACTTATTTAACTTGTTAAACTTATTTAACTTGTTAAACTTATTTAACTTGCTAAACTTATTACATAATTTTCTTTCAGATTTGACGAGAAAAGGGTGACTCATAGGAATTTGGGTTGGGATAAGCAGTTATACTGATGGATATGGGTTCGGAGAGATGAGCGTAGATCCAACCCTGCTCCAAACTGTGCTATGGAACCCTACCCGCTGCAGTAATTTTAACGCCGGTGTAAGAACGGAGCGCAATACAATATTTCCTACATTCACTCATTTGCTGCCGTGAAGATAAGACGGAGAGCAGGGTGAGCTTAGAGTAGAACTGTATAAATTCTTAACCAAGAGATACTTGAATTTCGTCCTCACGGATTTAGCCAAATCTTGGCCGTTTTAGAAAGCAAGCTATGTCGGGTATGGAGTTCAGTCGAACCATGATTTGGTTTTCTGTATTTTTATTTGCCTTAATCTACAGGGTTCAGTGTAAAGATATCGCATCATGCTGTACAAAAATAAAGATTGCAACCAATGGGGACGCAATTAAACATCAAAGCAACAGAGTTGGAGAATACCTACTGTACGGTGTACTAGCTGACCGTCCTATATATAAGCACGCTAGGAAGGAAGAATACCTATTTTATCTGATGAGTAGGAACAAGGGATTGTGGATGGTCGGACCTAAACCAGCTCAGTTCAACGGAGGACTAGCTCATAGAGGAGATGCACTGTGTGTTGAAGATGTTGCTAAAGAGCAGTGGAAGTATACTGATGGATCAGCCTGGCACATTGATTCACTTCTCACAGTATCCTGTCTAGATTCAGGATCCAGGCCGGAGTGTGTCTACAATGACGGAGTACAGTTTCTTGGTGGAGATTTACCGGAGGAGTTTGGCGGAGGAGGAATCCAGACAAGTGCAAACAGCTCTGGTCAGTGTATAGAGGAATGTGAGAAGAGGGCTGGGTGTCAATACTGGACTTGGGCGCATCAGGACGGAGTTAACTGTTTCCTGAAGTTTGACAAGGTTGAGACGGTGAGACGACCTAAGTTTGTTTCAGGCTCTATACCCAGCGCTTGTATTACACATCAAAATACTCAAGAGCAGTCAGTTTGCACATATGAAGGGATTGATTTCGTTGGAGGAGATCTTCTGAGCATTCCAGCAACTAGCGTGGACGACTGTCGTCAGCAGTGTACTGAGCAGGTCTCTTGTAAACTATTTACATTCGTCCCAGCAGAGAATAGAGGTTGTTATCTGAAAACTGAAGCTGTTAAAGCACAAGCAGAAGAGAATGTTATATCCGGAGCAGTTGCAAGTATCTGCGAGGAGTTTGTGCTTCCACACGTACCTGGAGATAATTCAAACTCAGTTTACGAGAAGAACGAAATCAACGGAAAGTTCAAGATACTAATGGAGTTCCGAGAGGAGTTGAATAACCCTGACTCCAAGGAGTTCAAGGATCTGTCCGGAGCAATGGAGAAATATCTGACGGAGATGCTCACAAGCGACCCAGAGCTCAATGAACAGGCAACATTTGATGTTCGGGTTGAAAGTTTCCAACCTGGGAGCGTGGTTTGTAATTTTAAAGTCAACTATATTCTGAAAGAAGCATACCTAGCCATTCCCTTTGCAATCCAGCCCAGTAACGTTACCGACTCCCTTGGGAACAGTTTCAAGTTTAAAAAGGGAATCTTGTTTCAGAGGTTTCTCATTGCTGCAGGTTCATTCAAGGGATCTTCTCCTGTAGACCACTGTGCTGAGAAGGGTTGTTCTCATAAGTGCAACTATGATTATGAGGCGGAAGATTATATTTGCACCTGTCCACCAAACCTTGTCCTTGACACTGACTCTAAAACCTGTATCGAATCTGAGGATGCTGAAAAAGAGGAAAAAGAAGGAACAGAAGAAAAAACCACAATCGAACCTGAAATATCCGTTTCTCTACTCCCAACCACTTGTCTCTGGTCCCCCTGGTCCGACTGGAGCGCATGCTCCTGTGACAAGAAATCTGAGAGAAGCAGAACTATCGCTATTCCCGCCAAGAACGGTGGACTCTGTTCTGGAAAGTATCGAGAAGTTGTGGATTGTGAATCTTCAGAGCCTTGTCAGGAGAATACAGAGGAGGTTACTGAGACAATAACAGAGGAAGATGCGGTTACAGACTCATTTGGAGTAAGGATTGCAGAACCTATTGAGGATACTGAAGCTGTAACTGTGACTGAACAATCTACTGAACAAAGCTCAGTTCTAATTTATTTCTTTTATCTAGGCCTGTCCTAACCAAAAGTATAACTTCCAAGGCTGTACACTCATTAAAGACAATGCTTCACGGGATCATTTTAGAAAGTTTAGAAAGTTTGAAGGGTTTTTACTTCTTCACTTATATAAAACGGAAATATTTATTAGTTTAAAATTCATCCACACCTCAGTTTAAAAATATGTCTGTTTTATTCAGTTTCAATTACATTGTTATCGGGATACAACCGATTATTAAATTAAATGTAAATTATTTCTATTTAATGTCTCAAGTCTTATATACATTTATATTTTCCTATTGTTCTATTCACATCTTTGTACAATTTCAATATTATTAGTCTTGATTTCATTATCATGATTATAATTCTAATTTGTTTAGGAGTTCACCACTGAAGGAGTCTACATTATTGAAGCTACTGAAACCGCAGAGAATACTGAATCATCCACCCTCCCCCCTATCTACAATGATTATATTGATGCCACTGAATCCTCAGTTGATGCTACTGAATCCTCAGGAGATGCTACTGAATCCTCAGGAGATGCTACTGAATCCTCAGTTGATGCTACTGAATCCTCAGGAGATGCTACTGAATCCTCAGTTGATGCTACTGAATCCTCAGTTGGTGCTACTGAATCCTCAGGAGATGCTACTGAATCCTCAGTTGATGCTACTGAATCATCAGTTGATGCTACTGAATCCTCTGTTGATGCTACTAAATCCTCAGTAGATGCTACTGAATCCTCAGGAAATGCTACTGAATCCTCAGAAGACACTACTGAATCCTCAGAAGACACTACTGAATCCTCAGAAGACACTACTGAATCCTCTGCTGCCGCTACTGAATCCTCAGGAGATGCTACGGAGTCCTCAGGAAATGCAACTGAACCCTCAGGAGATGCTACTGAGTCCCCAGGAGATGCAACTGAGTCCTCAGGAGATGCTACTGAGTCCTCGGGAGATACAACTGAGACTTTTGTAGATGCTACAGAATCATCTGTTGAAGCTACTGAATCCTCAGGAGATGATTTTGAATCCCCTGTTAATGGTACTGAATCCCCTGCTGATGCTACTGAATCCAATATAGATGCTTTTGATTTAGGAGTAACAACTGAATCTGCAGATGATGCTTCTGAATCTTCCGGTGATGCTACTGAATCTCCTGATGTTGTTAATGAATCTTCCCTGTATGCAACTGAATCCACAGGAGATGCCATTGAAACATCTACCACATCAGAAATCTACAATGATGATGTAGAGGACGAAGATGATACTTCTGAATTTTCAGGAGACAATGCTCAGTCGACAGGGGTTGCAACAGAATCCTCAGAAATGTCCACTGAATCCTTTAAAGATGCTGCTGAAACCACGGAAGATACAGTAGAATCCTCTGTAGATGAAACTAAATCTCCAATAGATGCCTCTGAATCAGGAGATGAAACTGAACACTCAGGAGATGAAACTGAATCTTCTGGAGATGAACCTGAATCCCCAAGAGATGTAACTGAATCCTCTGGAGATGAATCTGAATCATCTACTTCTTCGGACATCTACGATGATTATGTTGACGCTACTAAATCATCTTTAGACACTACAGACTTTCCTGAAGATAATACTGAATCCTCAGGAGATTCTACTGAATCTTCAGTAGATGCTACTGAAGAAACTGCAGATACTACTGAAGAAACTGCAGATACTACTGAATTATCCGGAAATGATACTAAAACATCAACATTTTCCAAAATCCTGAATGATGATTTGGATGCCATTGAAGCAACAGAAGATGCTTTTGATTCAGTCAGTACTTTGTCTGCTGTTGCTTTGAATGATGGAGCTACAACTACTGTAAGTTCTCTTCTCCAAGAGGAGGATCTTAACTCAGAGATTGATTTCCCCAGTTCAACCATCAGTGCTCTTGACCTACCTTTGGAACAAGGAGAAACAACAACCTATAGCATTTCTGAAGTTACAGATTCTGAAATGAAGGAACTTGAGGTACTGAATCAGACCAAGGAGATTTCTGATGAAATTGATGAAAATACCATAACAGATACCCCTAGATCTTTCCCCGAAGGTCTAGACAACCTAGACGAAGAGGAGACTTCATCTACTCCATCCATATTTGAGGAAGCTGATTCAAATGTTAAAGCAGCTGACAACGATTCTGAAGAAACTACAACATCTACTGCTATGGACAGCCAGAAAACCACATCAGCTTCTGCACAGGTTTCAAATGAAGAGACAGCAACAAGTTCTGAAAATGTGGCCAAAACTACAACTTTAGGTAGTGAAGTTTTCAATGATGATACCGAGGATGTGACCACTGAAGTTGAACAAGGCCCTTTTAAAGAGGATGACGAAGTTGCGTCAGCTGCTTCTAGAGATTCTGATGAAGCTTCAACAACCTCTACCATGGATGATGAAGAATCTGCCACAGCTGCTTCTGAAGATTCTAGTGAAACTTCAACAATGTCTTCCATTGATAGCAAGTTAGCAATCACTGCTGCTTCCAAAGATTCTGATGAAGCTACAACGGATTCTGCAATGAATGAAGATGATGCCATCACAGCTGCTTCCACAGGTTCTGATGAAACCTCAACAAATTCTGCAATGGATGAAGATGAAACCATCACAGCTGCTTCTGCAGATTCTGATGAAGCTACAACAGATTCTGCAATGGATGAAGATAATGCTATCACAACTGCTTCTGTGGATGATAAAAAAGCCACTACTGCTGCTGTAAGAGATTCTGATGAAGCCACAACAACTTCTACTATGGATGATGCGGCACCATCTACCACAAATAATGAAGAAGTAGCAACAACTACTGATGTTACAGAGATACAAAATGATGACACAGATGAGTATACAACATCTGCTACAAATGGCGGTGATGAAGATGTTTTAACAGTTGCCAGTGTTGAGGAGGAAACTGAAACAGAAGTTTCCAATGCTGATAAAGAAGTTTCTATGGTTACTGTAAATATTGAAGAAGATGCTGATAAATCTACAACATCTGCCACCAATGTTGATGAGGAAACATTAGCAACCAACAAGGAGACTACAATTGCTGTTGTTAATTCTAATAAAGAAATTGAGGTCTCAATTACCAGCAGTGTTGAGGAAGCAACAACTCCTGTCACTGATGATAATGAAGAAGCTGTAACCATAGCTACTGATGCTGATGGGGAAGCTGTGACATCTGCGACATCTGTTTTCAATGATGATTTTGAAGCGACAACTGATTCCAAGATTGCAAATATTGATGACGAGTCTAATTCTAGCTCAACCCAGATAACGGAATCAATTGAGAGCATGACAACGGTTTCTCCAACAGGAATGGATTCTTCACCAGATGTCTCTGAGAGTACTGGAGAAGATGAAAGCACAACAAAATCTCAGAAGATACTCACCGTAACAACAGTAACAGTTCTATCAGTTCAGGAATCTGATGATACAACAATTGTCGTTACAACTGCCAGACCTGAGATACTTAACGACGACACCGATGAAACAACAATAGCGTCTGATGACACTGAAGGGGTTCATGAGTTTGATTGTGTTGAGATTGAGCAGGGCAAGCTGGAAACTACATTAGATCAGATCCCAATGGAATGTACTGATAAGAACGGAGAGGAGAAAAGTCATGTTTATATTGTAATTAATAAGTCCCAGGTAGATCCTGAGAATCTGTTTGCCAAAAATGTTAAAGTACTTGTTAAAGATTTTATGATAATGGATGTCAGTAATAGTCCAGAAATCAGATAATTATTTTTTTTCTCTTCTCATTAAACTATTCTAATCAAAACTCCAAAATATGTACTCCATCGCATACAGTAAATATATTTGTCATAAATGGTGTGCTGAATGAACTTGGATAAGGATTATTTATATTTCACTGAACATTGAATGAATGAATGGGCATTGTAAAGAAATTAGTATTATGTTTTCTTCTTGTAGAATAAACACCTTACAGTATTATTTATTTGTTATAAAGATCTTGAGAAACTATAGGTAACATTAATTTGATATTTCGTGCAAATGAATTAAGGTTTTGCCACAAACTCTAATTTTCTAATCCCTTTTTACCTTAAGACTAGATTTCTTTAATCTAAGTTAGAAATATGAAAGGTTAACACTATCAGGTTGCAAAGATATAGGGATTAGAAAATTTGAATTTTTGACAACGACTAAATTCCTTAATATATAATTACTAATTAGACAATTTTCACAGTGATTCAGATATCCTGTTTGAATAGTCAGGGAGCATTCACTTTCGACCCCGTTTTCCCCAATTACATGCAGTTTTTCGTTTTTTCCATTTTTTACCAGTATTATTGAGATGAAGAATTTTAATATTAAGAGCTTTCTTAGATTGCTTTTGAGTAAAAGTTTATACTTGAACTGATTATGAAAGGTAGAATGATAAAGAACCCTAAATATTGATTAAGATTTATGAAAAGTAGAATGATAAAGAACCCTAAATATTGATTAAGATTTATGAAAGGTAGAATGATAAAGAACCCTAAATATTGATTAGGATTTATGAAAGGTAGAAAGATAAAGAACCCTAAATATTGATTAAGATTTATGAAAGGTAGAAAGGATTAAGTAAGTTAATGCTCCTGTGGCATTAAGCCCCTTAAGTTCCTGATTCCGATCATCATAGACACAGTGCTATAAAGGTTAAAAACGCTTACGCAAAAATCTATGATAATTTTGCCAATTATTCCTTAAATACTATAAGCATAAAGCAAGTGCATTATTTGTTCTAAAATATATTTGTCCACGGCTATAAAAATTTTAAGTGAGTTGTGAGGTAAAAATAAAGGCCAAAGCGTTGCGTGACACCTTAAAGTCGACCTTGTTGTGAAAACTTTTCTTAGCTCTTAAGAGAAAGGAACTGAGCTTTTGTCACAAACTCAAATTTTGTCATTCGTAATATCTTTGCAACCTAATAATCCTTAGATATTTCAAACCTTTACTATTTGATCTACCATATCTATTTACAACATTGGTTAGCAAGTGCAAGGGTTAAAAAATCTGAGTTTGTGACAAAAACTCAATCCTTTCTATTTTCATACATACGTTCATTACTACATACAAATACGTACATTACTACATACACATTACGCATACGTACATTACTACATACACATTACACATACGTACATTACTACATACATATTACACATACGTACATTACTACATACATTTTTTCACTTTCATAACATAGCACTAACCACATATATGTGCACCGGAATATCCTCTGTATACATCAAAACTGGGAGCAGTCTGAGCTATTCATATATACCTCTTTAGTTTATCTGTATAGTCTTATATATTGTTGAACAAATAATTCTTTCGATCCAAAGAATTAAAATCAGAAAAAGGCAAACCTTTTTAAGAGACAGAAATGATTAATTGAGGGGGGGGGGGAGGTGTAAGAATGATTTTGTTTTCAAAAGGAATTAATTCTTTGCCACAAACTCAAATATTTAAACCCCTATATGTTTCAAACTCAGATTATTTGATTTAACAGAATTCATAGATTGAAATATCGAAGGTCTACAACATTTGGTTCTTAAGATATAATGATTAGAAAATCAGGGTTTTGTGGAAAAGACTCAATTCCTTTGTCAAGATATTTGAAAATACAGATATAAAAACTGAAAACTCAAACCGAAAAAAGTCCAAGCTGGAAAAACTTCGTTTTTGGGGTTTTAGAAATTTACTTCGAATGATTCGCAGAGCTGTTGTGATCAGCTGTTTTGGACGTGTGCAACCCGTTTTTATGCCTTTCGATGATAAATCACAAGAAAAATTACTTTGAATACTGAAATTTAATAATTTATTTGTAGTAGAAAGTATTTCTGGGACCAGATTTATTAATGTGAGCTATCTTGAATCGGTGATTCAGGATTTGTCCATTTTCTATAGATGTAAACTACACTAGGTAGTTTATCAACCATAGCTCACATTTTTATAATGTCCAAATGGTTTGTCAACGAATGGTACAATATCCTAAGTTTCAAATATTTGTCTGAACAATCCTTTTAAAAACTTATCTCGACTTAGTTAATTTTACAATTAAAAGTTTTTTTAAAAATATTGTTTCTAAAAGCGAGGAACTTGGTTATGGGTAGGGCAGTAGGGTTAGAGCCTCACCCTGGCCTATACACTAGTATACAGTATACAGGTTGATGAGCAATAAACTGACCTATAGGGAAACATCTGACCAAATATTAACCGGTAAGTGCTACATCAACCTATATGTGCTTCTTGTAAATTTTCTAGATTTTTCATCAATGCTTCAGGAGATACAGAGATCTTTTTTATTGGAGTGGGGTTAAACAACAATTTTTGCAAATTTTCTTAGTTTCCAGAGGGAAGAGGTACAGAATGAATTGAATCTTCCTTCTTTCCTTCACGACCCAGTTCACTAATATAGCATATTTAAATTTGAAGATGTCCCAAGGAATTGAAAAATCATCGTTTTAATGCAGATTACATTTTGGAAATCCCAAGACAAAGTTTTTTTTCGTTTAAAACATTCTATGAGAAAAAATAGACGTTTTAAAAGTCGTCCAATTGAATTTATGATTTATAATCAAGGAACCCCTGCCCTTCTCTCTTCCTTTATCTGATCAAACCAGGTCAGAATCAATCTTAGTCATATTTGCGTCCTGTAAAGATCCCTGTTAAACGGATTCCGTGGTGGTTCATTTACAAGTCACCATTTAGTTAGAATTATATACATTCCAGTTTAATGGTTTTTACAGCAATGGTTGCAAAGCCATTAGAGAGATGTGGGGGGGGGGGTGTCTAAGGCAGGAAGACAGTTTACAAAACAAATTGTCACTAATTGATGACAAATGTCTGTTTGAAAGAAAAATCAGGTGAGAACAAAGATTTAAAAAGTTAAAAGTTTTTTCTATTCCGCGGTTTCTAATAGAAATTGTAGAACGCTCCGCTTAGGAATATTATTATATCTTGTTTTAATGGTGAATCTACCTTTAGAACAAAATCTTTGTAATGGTGTTTATAGAAAAATTAAGTTTACACTAACAATACTTGATTTATCATGTTATCCCTGAGATGACATAAAACATGAAGTAAAGAGAACTGAGCTGGGTGCACAATTCAGGGGCGTATTCAGGGGGGCTATGGGGGCTACGCCCGCCCTGGACCAGTAAAATCTATTGTTTTCATGGGGGTTTTCAGACCCCAATGGGTGCCGAAAACCCCCTGGAAAGATAAAGAAATTTAAGCCGGCCCCCTGGACAAATTCCTGAATACGCCCCTGGTGCACATAGACAAATACTGTGATAAAGGAGAATTCCATATCATGGTTTGTCAAGGGGTTTAAACCACACCACACCTTACTCAAACTAACAGTAAAGGTATTCAGAATACATGAAATCTCTAGAGGATAAAACTATATTTGTCAGAAAGGACAATAAACACTGGTCAATATAAACTAGATATACATTCTGATCTAATTGCAGCTTTTCCTGCCCAGGACTGCAAAAAAGTATAATTGGGGTTGTAAGTTGAAATCAGTCGCATTTTTAGAACTGTGTAAATCACTGTGTGGTTTACAGGTGTACTAGTCTTTTATTAGGATACCAAGAGCGGGGACGGGATACCAAGAGCGGGGACGGGATACCAAAAGTTGGGACGGGACACCAAGAGTTAGGACGGGGATGCAATTAGAGTTGGGACAGGATACTAAGAGCTGAGACAGGATACCAAGAGTTAGGACGGGACACCAAGAGTTGGGACGGGATACCAAGAGTTAGGACGGAATGCAATTAGAGTTGGGACAGGATACTAAGAGTTGAGACGGGATACCAAGAGTGGGGACGGGATACCAAAAGTTGGGAAGGGACACCAAGAGTTAGGACGGGGATGCAATTATAATTGGGACAGGATACTAAGAGCTGAAACGTAATACCAAGATTTGGAACCGGATACCAAGAGTTGAGAAGACAGGATACAAAGAGCTGGGACGGAGAACCAAGAATCTGGGACGGAATACCAAGAGTTGAGACGGGATACCAAGACCAGAGTTACTGGGAATAATTTTATAAAATTCATCTGTTACCTCTAATAGAATCTTCTTATCCCTTGTAACCCCCTCCTCCCCCCCCCCTCTGACGACTGACAATGAAGAAGCATCTATGAGTGACATGTTCTTTTGATAAGGGTCTGCCAATTGTCGTCTAAACATTATTTATATTTAATCTTCACTTTACTACACAGTTCCGCATCCCTGCACCTTTATTTCGTTTGTTCGTTTTAAAACAGGGTTAACCTGGGTTAACCATATTACTACAGACAGGGTTAACCTGGGTTAACCATATTACTACAGACAATGTTAACCTGGGTTAACCATATTACTACAGACAGGGTTAACCTGGGTTAACAATATTACTACAGACAGGGTTAACCTGGGTTAACCATATAACTACAGACAGGGTTAACCTGGGTTAACCATATTACTACAGACAAGGTTAACCTGGGTTAAACATATTACTACAGACAAGGTTAACCTGGGTTAAACATATTACTATAGACAGGGTTAACTTGGGTTAACAATATTACTACAGACAAGGTTAACCTGGGTTAACCATATTACTACAGACAAGGTTAACCTGGGTTAACCATATTACCACAGACAGGGTTAACCTGGGTTAACCATATTACCACAGGCAGGGTTAACTTGGGTTAACCATATTAATACAGACAAGGTTAACCTGGGTTAACCATATTACTACATACAGACAAGGTTAACCTGGGTTAACCATATTACTACATACAGACAAGGTTAACCTGGGTTAACCATATTACTACAGACCAGGTTAACTTGGGTTAACCATATTACTACAGACAGGGTTAACCTGGGTTAACAATATTACTACAGACAAGGTTAACCTGGGTTAACCATATTACTACAGACCAGGGTAACCTGGGTTAAC